AATACAAAAAATTAGCCGGGTGTGTGGTGCATGCCTGTAATCCCAGCTACTCAGGAGACTGAGGCAGGAGAATCACTCAAACCCGGGAGGTGGAGGTAGCGGTGAGCCGAGATCATACCATTGCACTCCAGCCTGGGCAAGAAGCGTGAAACTCAGTCTCAAGAAAGAAAAAGTACTATCTGATCATTAGGGTTGTTGGAGGGTCACGTGAGTGGAAGTATATGTGAGGTGCTAGGAATGGGCTCCTGGTCTGCAGAAAATGCTAATTCATGTTGGCATTAAGTGAACTGGTTAGATGAAGGTCTCCAAGAATCCATGTGGAGCGGGCCCTGGGTTGCACCCAGCGTCTCCTGCATGGGAGTTGCTTAGCCTGTCACAAGTATTCTCTTTGTCATGGTTGTTATCATGTCGGTGTTGCTGCCATGGGGCTATAGTTCTAGTGACGGTGACAATACACCCCTCAGAAGCTGATGGCTGCCCACTGTTCACATTACCTTGGCTCAGCGGCTTGCCCTGAGTGTGTCCGTCCCAGCCGCTCCTGCTCTTGCTGATGAGAGCCTGGTCTTCCCCCGTGCAACCCGGTTCAGATTCCTCAGAGGACTTTTGCCATCACCCTGTCAGCGCAGAGCTTTGCTGTTCTAGGGCAGGTGTCCCAGCAGCTGTCACCAGGGACGTTTTACAGCACAGAATCCAGGTGAGGAACCCTTCCCTGGGAGGAGGCTTGGACCAGGCTGGCTTTCCATGCTCAGGCCCCTCAGGACAGCTGCCACATAGGAAGGCACCATGTTGCTTGGGGGGCTTAACCACCCAATCAGATTTCCTCTGTTTGCAGAGTCTAGTGGACAGCCTTTGGGGAGCCACCCAGCCGACACCTGCACCTCTGAGAACCCCCAGAACTCCTTGGCTGGCATCTTAGGAAACTTCACCCCACCCCTTTGGCTGACTGGGTGCCACCCCACCCCATTAGGGTGGGCGCAATGGATCCACCCACCTCAGCGCTTTGGGAGGCTGAGGTGGGCCAATCACCTGAGGTTGGGAGTTCGAGACCAGCCTGGACAACACAGTGAAGTCCCATCTCTACTAAAAATAGAAAAATTAGCTGGGCATGGTGGCAGGTGCCTGTAATCCCAGCTGCTAGGAGGCTGAGGGAGGAGAACAGCTTGAGGCTGGGAGCTGGAGGTTGCAGCTAGCAGAGATCCCACCATTGCACTCTAGTACTTCAGCCTGGGAGACAGAAAGAGACTCCAA